GTTTATGCATATTTATCTTGAACTTTTTAGCCTTTTTTGAGATATGACAGTGGAGAAAGGACAGAAAAGCTGGAAGAAAGAGCCAGAAAAGACACCGCAAATAGCAGATTCAACCCGAGGTCTCTGCGTTAGCCTTACAGAATATAGGTCATCTGCTCTACCCAGTGAGCTAAACTAGCACACAAATGCCAATATGCCCCAGTGTTTGTAGGAAAACTAATATCAGTCTCTTTGTATCCATGGGCAGTGGGCATTAAATCACTCCCAAAAACTAATTAATAATAAACATGTTGACGTTTAGGTTAATTGTGGAATTTAATGATCCATACTCAAGTTACGATCTCTGCTTCCTCTGGGTTGCTTTCTCCTCTCTCGCTCTCCGTCCCTTTCTTCCTCTCTGCCTTTGCCAGGATACTGTTTGCTCTGTCTCTCCCTCTCACTGTGTGTTCATCTGGAGCCTGTCCCAGATCACTTTGAGTGAGATGAGACTGGTCTAACACAGAGATCCAGACAATCACGCATGCTCACTTTCACACCTACAGCCAATTTACAATCACAAATTAGCCTAAAATGTTTAGCCTGTGGGAGGAAGTCAGAGCACCTGGAAGAAAACCTCATAAAAGGTAGGGAGAACAAAGCCTGTACAGAAAGTAGTAGTTTTAAATAAGTCTGTATGAGGTAACACCACCCACTACAAACTGTTACTAAGAGTACATGGTGTTTACCATTGCATCCCAGCAAAGGCCCACCTAAAGAAAAATGATCATCCATTAAAGTGGACACCACACTTGTAATATTTTCATCACTTTACCTTGCTGCCCTTTCCGATCGGTAACTGAAGCCATTATTTTGATCTCCTCCAAGCCACAGGACTGAGTTGTCAAGCAGTTAGTTTACCTAGTAGAACATGTGAGTTGCTTCTTTGCAGCTGCCTAATCTGTAATCACTAAACTTGATTATGTTTGTGACTTTGACCTGTTAAAACAAATTAATTTAACGGTGGCCAGATTTAAATAGTTTGGCTGCTAGTTATTCAGCAACTACTCAGGGGGAAATAAAAGGGTGAAATGATTAAAAATTTACATTTCATCTGAATTAACTTTTGCCAGTATGTACATGGTAGAAAATACAGTTCTGTGGTTTTGGACCATTATGTTAAATTTTAAACAAACTCTGGAAGAGAGTGGAAAAAATGCAGATAAATCTGTTTTATCACCTGCTGCAGAAATGTGACTTCTTTTTCCATTAATACTCTGAACCTTAAACAAGATTGGCTCAGTTTGGCCCAGAAAGCCCAAACTGGGGGTGTTTTCCACTTATATTCATTCATGTAAAGAACTGTTCATTTTAAAACCTGCTTTTAGGCCCACTTACGCTGGCCTTATTCATGTCTGTGAAACATATGAAAACCACACAGTCATAGTGCAGTTCCTAATTAAACAGGATGGCATTGCCCTGATTGTCACCTTGTGTCCCTGCTGCAGACTAGCCTCTTTGAGGACGCTCTTATTGTAACTAGTTTAAACGACCTACAGACTTACTACCACAATGTGAATTAGGCTGCTCAACGCAAATACATGGTCAGTCTGTACAGTCTAAAACCAGCTGTTGTATCTCTGAGTACTGAAGGCTATATTTGACAGGATTAGACTCCTACTTGTGTTTGGAGAGGCTGTTTGTAAAGATGTTTTCTATTCTTAGTCAGGTAAGGAGGTTATTCATAGTAGCTTGCTGAGTTGTAGCTCAGGTGAGTTAGTTTCTCAGACAGCTGTTAATAGTCTTTAGACAAGCTTATTGGCTAATACGTGCAGTGGACTGGCTGCTTTGTTTGTGTTCTGACTTTGTAGTGTTGCAACAGAACAGGTGCTCTTATCTTTAAATTAAATTGGTCAAAAAAGTATCAGTGAATACATTTATTTTACTTTTTGCTGCCTTTTGATATCCTTTTCTTTGGTACAGCTTGGTGTCCTGGTGCCTGTAAATTGCACAGAAACATACTGGTGCTTTTGAAGATACTAGTGTGGTGAAATACTAAATATTTACATTATATATTTTCCTTTTTTTATTCCCTACCGTTAACAATACTGTGTTTATATGTATTAATGCATATAATATACTAATAGAGTTATAGTCAAATGGGAAAATGATGGTGAGATGAACTTTTTGGTAGCTTACTCTTAAATTTATTATTGCATCATATTTGTGAGGTTTTATTACTCCTGGTCCA